GGTCTCGCCGTAGCTCATGCCGCTCAGCATGCTGTTGCTAGGTGGTTGACTTCCGATCCCGCCAGAGTTGCCAGGAGTAAGGGCTCGATTGGCAGCGAGCAGGCTGTTCGCTTGCAGTCCTTGGGTTGCCGGCATGAGAGTGCTGTCCAAATGGGTCGATGACGCTGAGGACTCGTTCGCTGAGTCTGGATTAGTAGGTTGTTTCATGGCTATTTCGAGTGGCACGTAGGTCAGTCATCACAGTCACACCGAAGAGAGACGTGGATGCAATGGCTCGAGCACTGGGTGGGGAGGGGATAGAGCTTTATAATTACCATCAATTGAACCTCTTCCTTGGGCTTGGTATTCTTCCCTCCATCGCCAGACAGAGTCGAATACAAGACTCATGCTATGGCGGCAGCGCACCTTGAGCTGTAAGGTGTCGTCAATGAGAAGTGGTGAATCGTCATTGTCGTAGGAAGCCGTGCTGTTGTTATCGAGCCGAGCTCCGTTCCACATTTGCACCATTAGCTCTGCTAGACGCCACTGCAGGTCGTTGTTTACGACGCTCGTAGCACGAATGGCATTGATGGTCTGGTGGAAAAGATTGCGGCCACGATCGAAATCAATCGTTTTGGCGAAGAACGACCGCATGAGCTTGAGTAGGGCAAAACCCGCCGCGATCAACATCTGCTGGATGTAATTCGTCGCATAAAGCAGAATTGTTCCTGGGGAATTCTGTCCGGGTGATGTGACCTTGTCGACCTCAAGAATGTTATCCAAGAAGCTTGTGGTAGCCCTCCAAAGACCCATCAGATCATCGATGTAGCCAGGTGTGGTACTCGAGTCAAAGAAGCCAGCTAGACGCAAATGGAGTGCTGCGGCTCGCATATGTAAGTTGACGATTGGCCCCAGATGCTGCGAAAGGACTGACGCCTGAAGTTCGTTAAAGTCCTTTCTGTAGACTCTCATCAACATGGCTCGATGTTCGTCACCGGCAACCCCGCGAGGATCACTAGCATTGCTGTACATTTCCTTGGACACTTTGTCGCAGAATCTTTCGACTTGAAGTCTAGCCTCCAATTCCGGCGTCAATCGGAAGGGACCATCTTCGCCTCGTCGAACAGCCAAAGTCCAGTCGTACAGGGTCGATGCCGGCTGGCCGTAGCCAGTACCAATGGTCTGAGCCACAATATTGCAGACAGCCCATGTTGACACACGGTCATGCAGCTGCTCTTTGTTGAGGTCGACCGATACTCTGGAAAAGTCTTGACTGTGGTTTGGTCTATGTAGGCCAATGCCCGTCGCAACCTTCATCATAACACCACAAAGAATGTGCGTAGGATCGGCACTTGTCGTGCTTGTTGGTAGAGGCCAAGTGCATAGCAGACACAGAGCTTTGACGACAAAGTAGCTGCTGGGAACATCTCCAATGGTTGACCACAGCAATCTGGTCAGAGGTCCAGATATCGAGGTCAACAACGTAGTATCTGCGCTATACCGGCGAGCAGCAACCGAAATGATGGACCAAAACAAAAGGGCGTGTTGTTGGAAGTACTGATCAGGCGTCTGTTGCGGGTTGAGGAAAGGCAAGAAAGGGTGGTAGTATGCGAAGAATTGGCTGAAGAGCTGATTGACTGACTCCTCGGTCAGGCGTACATTCTCCAGCTCGTGAGTGTAGCGTGGTAGGCTGTACGACCCTCCTCTTTTGAGGTGCAACAGCGAGGATACAGCCTCGTCGGAGCCCATTAGGGAAGGGTTTCTAGTGTGTGTGTACACGCTTGTCGCAACCGGGGATTGAAGGTCCTGTTCGTCCTCGTCGACAGTGTAACCCTGATTTTGGGCGCGTGCAATGTTGCGTCGCAACCTGTCGATTTCCTTCTCCATCTCGGCGTGCTTCGACCGCTTGCCTATGCGCTTGAAGTTGGACTCAATCTTACAGGAAAGCTTGAGGCGGTTACACCGTGAACAGCTCTGGAAAGGGTCTTGAACAACATCGCATCGCAACTATTCCAGAGGAAGCATGGTTAGTGGGGGTGACTCATGTCATGATTCTGGCCGGGAGGTTGACTCACTTTCTGTTGTCGACACTCATTACATGCGCGCTTGACGCCGGGCTGGCGCTTTTTGGAATCAGGCTCGCCATTGTCATCGTCGTGACCGGCATTGCTGCCCGGACTGCTATCGAGGGCCATGCTGCTGTGCTTCCTCTTGGGAGGCCCATTGGGCGCATGACGGACGCTCATGGGACTTGTGGGCGAGACGGGCGTCGCCCCGCCGGCAGAGACGACGTCCATGCAGGGCACGGGGGACGGATAGTCGCGGTGAGACAAGACAAGACACGGCACAGGCGGGCGCGGGTGACCCCTCCCGGGCCGGGCGTGGCGTGAGGTGCGAACGGAGCTCGCAGGAAGAACTCGGCAATCGGAGATGTCCTGGACGGTGAGCGAGACTCGCTGGGGCGGCGGTCCGGTGTCGCGAGGTGCGTGTTGGAATTGTTGATGTGAGGTGGGAGCTGGCGCGGCCGAATGCGGAGGGCGGGGAAGAAGGTTGATTTTTGACCTGAGGAGCGAGGCAAGATTTGCAGTGGGAAGGTGGAAGGGGACCTCGTTGCGCCTGCCCAGCCGTTGGACTTTTGGAGGGGGACCAACGGGGGTGAATGGCTGGGAGGTGTCATCCCATTGGCTGGCTCGATCTGCAGTTTCCCCGCCCTTCACCTTCTGTGCTTCTGCAGCGGGCGGGGTGGGTGACAGAGTCTGTGAGAGTACTGAGCAATTCTGCCAGTTTACACATGACAACTTCCCAACCGGGAAAGGCGCATCGGGAACTCGGACCCGACTTGTACCGGTTCTTGTTTGTTCTTGCTCTTCCAATCTGCCCAGACCGTGCCCGGGCTGCTGTCAGAATAGTGCACAGACAGGCGGGATACTTCCCGGCACCCCAACTTCCAAGCCTCCGACCCAGGAGATAGCAATCTGAATTGACAGAGATAGCCAGAGTCGATATTCACGATAGCTGCTGGTCCGATATCGTCCTCTTTCTCTGCCTTTATCCACCCTCACTCGCCCTGCATCTGGGTACCTGTTCCCACGCTGTCCACTGCATGAATAGAGTAGCCAAGAGGAAGTCTCCATTGATGACAAGACAGAAAACCCAAAAGTGGAAATTCTAGGTGAAAATTGGGTCACCAAGCAGGTGAGCACCAGCCTAAGTGGCTGCTCTGAGGTCAAAAGGCGTGGGACTGTGACTAATCATATATGGTGGCCATGGGATGGGTAGGTGCAGTGTGCAGTTGCTGCTGCACACACGTTTGGCCCTTCCTCCCTGCCGTGGCCGTGGCAGAACTCAAGATTAACCTGCCGAAGAATCTTAAAAGCTCATGATCAGACGAACACTCGTACCTGAGCAATTACGTGGAGAGACCGACTCGCGGATTTCCAGAAAATAAAAGTTGCTTTCCTTCTCAGTCGTCAATCCCTTTCGTAAGTGCTCATCTTCAATATCGCCCATATCGCGTCACCACCTACAAGTTGTAGCAATGCCCGAATCCGAAGCCAAGAAAGCGGCCAAACCGCCTCTGAAAGTCGAACTTGCACTACCCGCCGTATACCAGGGACACGGCTCGTACACTGAAAGCTCGAAAGGGGTCCGGGACGTCCAAATTGTGATGCCGGGATCACGGCCTAAGCAAGGTGAGCGAGGCTTTGTTTCTCGATGCCCATCGAGGCAACCAGATCGCAACTGATCATTCTTGCAGTCGACGTTCTCCAAGTAGACTCAACGGCTACATCGCAACCCTTCATTGATCCGGCTGTCTTTCAAAAATGGAGCGACAGGTCTTGATATCTACGTCGCCTCAAGTAGTACTATAGAAACTCAACCCCGATCTTATCGTATGCACTTTCGGGATTGCGACTGTCCATCACTGTCATGGCAGAGATGCTTCATCCCGGATCCGAGCGCTAGGTGGCTGTTCCGGAACCTTTTTAGGCCCGGTAACAAAGCATGTGCCTCTGCCCGCCGCCATCTGTCAAACTCGAGGCGCTCTAGCAAATAAAGTTGGGGAAATATGGGCACGCGTGCGCTCCGGTAACTGTGGCCGGCATCTCAAAACCCCAGAATTCCTCCCCGCGGCTCAATCTCGACCACTCTGGGATCCGATCCGCTGTCTGGTCTTAGGACCGTTCGGCTTGAGACCTGCTTGGCCATGATCCACTCTTCAAGGAAGACTGATGAACGTCGGGATTCACGTGGGGCCAAGTCCTCGGATTTGGAGTTGCAACAGTCCCACGTCCGGTCAGATCGGTATTATCACACAGAGGTTCCGTCACAACTTTCATCCCAAATTTGGAATTCATCCAGCGACGGATAATTAGGATTGGATTTACTGCATCGCCGTCACTGTTTTGAGCACGAAAGGATTCGCGACTGCACACAGGACGCTAAAGTCTCACATCTGAACAAAGTCCCAACTTCCAAAGTCCCAATTCTCAAGCACTTCCCGCGAACACCGTCAGCACAATGCGGGCTATCGGCCGGGGATGCTGCTTGACTGGGCGAGAAGTGTAGTATCCACCCTCCGGGTCCCTGCCCGGAACCGACCCACCATGCCCACTCCAGCTGGGGTGAAACGGGGGACATAAGCCAGCTTTATACGCAGATTTCAAAGCAATTGGTAGAATTGGTTTCGAAGGATCGAGGGTGAGCATTTCCCTAGTCAGGTCGTCTCAGAGTTTCTCCCCGCGTCCACTTTCCGCGTGCGGGGTTCCGGGCACTAGAGAGCGTGGCGTTGACCATCGGCATGTCGAAAAGGGCATGGGTTTGGAATTAACAAAGTGTTCCACGTAGGTCGGGTGGCTACCTTTCACAACAGTATAAGAATCCAATGCTCAGCTGAGTTTGGTTCAAATTTGCCTGCCCTTGAACCTACCTGCGTTCTCCCATTGCCTCCACCTACCTTACCTCAGTTCCGATACCCCTTATCAAGAATCTCGGCTCGATTCTCATACTCTTTTCAAGCCATGTCGACGCAAACAAACGGTGACACCCCAGCTGGGGACTACACTGTTCCCTTCTTCCTGGATGGAGAAAAGGTCATCGCAAAAAAGACCTTTGACGTTGTATCACCCGCTACCGGAAAGGTCATTCACAAGTGTGGCAGCGCAACTGAGGAAGATGCCTTGGCCGCAGTTGATTCCGCAGCCAAAGCCTTCAAAAGCTGGAAGAAGACTACGCTCGGCCAACGTCAGGAGATCTTCCTCAAGGCTGCTGCTATCATGGAGTCTCGGAAAGAGGAACTGGCCCGCGTCATGTCTGAAGAGACGGGTGCTGCTGCAGGCTGGTCAGAGTTCATCTTGGGTCTAGGCATCGGCTGCCTCAAAGACGTCGGCGGACGCCTCCTCACCATCCAGGGCTCTCTCCCAACAACCAATGACCCGAACGTGAGCGCAATGGTCCTCAAGGAACCCTACGGGGTCGTCCTCGCTATTGCCCCTTGGTCAGTATATCAGCTATACTTGTAAGGGATTAAACAGCTAACACCCAATCAGGAACGCCCCGTACATCTTGGGAGCAAGGTCAATAGCATTCCCCATCGCCGCTGGCAACACTGCCATTCTCAAGGCCTCAGAATTCTCCCCTCGAACCCTGGTTGAGATGGTCTCTTGCTTCCACGAAGCCGGCTTGCCCAAGGGTGTTTTGAACGTCATTGTTCACGAGCCGGCCAACGCTGCTGCAATTACATCATCGCTCATCGCCCACCCTGAGGTCAAGAAGATCAACTTCACCGGCAGCACAGGCGTCGGCCGCATCATCGCAAAGCTGGCAGGTGAGAACCTGAAGCCAGTACTGTTGGAGCTGGGAGGCAAGGCCCCGGCCATCGTATGGGATGACGCCAACCTCGAGCTGGCCGCAGATCAGTGCGCAGTTGGCTCTTTCCTTCACGGAGGGCAAATCTGCATGAGCACTGAGCGCATCATTGTCCACAAGAAGATTAGCGAGCAGTTCCAGTCGAAGCTGTCGGCCTCGATCGAGAAGATCTTCCCGTCGCAATCCGATGCGCCTGTGCTCATCAACGCGGTGGCTGTTGAGAAGAACAAGAAGCTTGTCAAGGATGCCGTCAGCAAGGGCGCTGGCCTCGTTGCCGGCGACGTTGACGCTGAGCAGACGTCAAAGACAAGACTGCGGCCCATCGTCATCAAGAACGTCACAACCGACATGGACATCTACAAGACGGAGTCTTTCGGCCCTTCCGTAGCGCTCTTTGAGGTAGAGACCGAGGAGGAGGCGATCAAGCTCGCCAACGACACAGAGTACGGCCTGACATCTGCCGTCTTCACAGAGGATCTGCGGACAGGTCTCCGCTTCGCAAAGGAAATTGAGTCGGGCGCCGTCCACATCAACAACATGACGGTCCACGACGAGCCTGGCCTGCCCCACGGCGGAGTCAAGTCGAGCGGGTTTGGCAGGTTCGGCTCCTCTGGTCTGGACGAGTGGGTGAGGACCAAGACGATTACCTTCCGGAACTGAAGTTTGGTGGTGTGCTTTTCATAGCGTCTAGATACCTTGACCCTGTCTGAATGGAAAGAAGGGGCTTATTTCACGGCTCTATCAGGTTCCGATGCAAATGCTGTGTATCCATCAATGACTTATTGGTTTCCCTCGCATCTTGCGGCACGATTGTATGACAACACTGTTACGAATAGAACCCACGTATCTCATAGACCAGACGCTACTCCGTAATTCTCACTATCCCAAAAATCGATGAGGTGTCAATAGAGTGGTGTTGATCGTTATCAGCCAATGACGATCATGGGGAAGCAGTGCCACGTGAGTGCATAGTTCGACTTTGGCTACCTCGTTGCGTTACACGATCGGCGCACTCATATTTTGCCCCTCCACCCCTCCAGAATATTGGGCAGTTCAATTCCGCGGTCGATCATAGGTGGGAAGCCACGTCGGCAACGACAAGAGCCGCGACAACACACACGGGAACTTTCGCTTGGCGCAGGTAGGTCAACATGGACATAGCTTTCAATGCCCCAATTGACTTTCAGCCACTGGCGGAAACTGAATTCTAGCATGCTGCATAAAGACGGGCGGCATATTGCTGACAGCAACACTTCAACCATTGGTCTGCCATCGCCAGTACGCCTCCTCCCCGCAATTGCAATTCTGGAGTCAGAGTTCGAGGGGAATTGCTTGCGGCTTCGTTGCCGTGGGTTCAGAAACGGAGATTTTGTCCTGCCGAAAAGTTCGCGACATGTCACAATGAATACGACAACTGCGCACCTTGATTCTTAACTCCCCGGGTGAGGTGTGTGCCCCTGAATAAATGTGGTCAGATGGAGTAGGACCCTATATCCCCTAACTCCCCTGATACCCATGTGATATTCAGGGAAAGCGCACGTTTCCAACGCAAGAAGTGAAGCTGGGCATGTGGGCCGAGTCTCTTCTCGTGGGCTTTGTGTTGAGATGCGCCGGCAGTCTGATACCCAAGTGTGTAAATGGGAGCAATGAAGACATACCTAATAGAAAGGTCAAAAGCGATAAGACGATTGGGCTGAACAGCAGTCGTCCGTGTGGACCCTGTCAAGCTCCCGGTAGAATTGACGCTAAACCCATTTGGTAGACAAGCTCTCGGGATCCTTGCATCACAAATTCGAGTCGCATCTCGAGAATCTTCAAGGCCGACTGACATTCCCACTCCCGATTGTCAGCAATCCCGCACAATGCTTCCCGCACGGTCTCTCCGACCAGCCTTCCGTGCGGTACCGATCTTCTTCCGTAGCCCGGCAGCGGCACCGAGACCACAATGCCTCCAGAGACGATGGTACGCCGACAAGAAAGCCGCACCACCACCACTACCATCACCGGCCGCCGTCGCCGAAGATGACCTCCCCGACCACCGCAAGCTGGGTGTTCAGCAGGAGCTCTTCACCTCTTCCATCTACAGCCCCGGTTCCCCGATATTCCTCCCGAACGGCACGCGAATCTTCAACCGACTGGTCGATTTCCTACGACGGCAGTACGTCCACTACGGCTTCGACGAGGTTATCACGCCAAATATCTACAAAAAGTCGCTGTGGGAGGTGTCGGGCCATTTACAAAACTATGCCGACGACATGTACACCGTCACCAGCCGCGCGCGCGCCCCCGAGGAGAAGACGAGTTGCTGCGGCGGTGCTCACGGAGACCAGCCTCACGAGGGAGCCAGCGGCGAGCAGGCCACCAGGCAAGCCGAGGGCGAGGACGATGACTACGGCCTCAAGCCCATGAACTGCCCGGGCCACTGCCTCATCTTCGCCTCAAAGAACCGCAGCTACCGCGATCTGCCCATCCGCTACGCCGACTTCAGCCCGCTGCACCGCAACGAGATCTCGGGCGCCCTCAGCGGCCTGACGCGCGTGCGCCGCTTCCACCAGGACGACGGCCACGTCTTTTGCCGCCCGATCCAGATCCAAGAAGAAGTCTTCAAGACGCTCGACTTCATGAAGACGGTCTACGGCGCGCTCGGGCTCGAGCAGTTCGACTTTGCCCTCTCGACCAGGCCCGCGGACCACTACATTGGCACCGACGCCGAGTGGGCGCGGGCCGAGTCGCAGCTGCGCCAGGCGCTGGAGCAGGCCGGGTTGAAGTACACCGTCAAGGAAGGCGACGGCGCCTTTTACGGCCCCAAGATTGACGTGATGCTGCACGACTCGCACGGCAAGTCGCACCAGGCCGGCACGATCCAGCTCGACTTCCAGCTGCCGCAGCGCTTCAACCTCGAGTACCAGGCGCCCGCTCCCGCGCTGGAGGCGCAGGGCCTGCCGCTGGACGGCGCCGACGTGTCGGCGGCGGACCTGGAGACGTACGGACCGGTGCCGCCCGTCATGATCCACCGGGCCATCCTGGGGTCCGTCGAGCGCCTGATGGCGCTGCTGATTGAGGAGTACAAGGGCCGGTGGCCGTTCTGGCTGAACCCGCGGCAGTGCGTGATCCTGACCATCAACGACACGGAACCCGTCATGAGCTGGGCGTCCGAGGTCAAGGATATCCTGACGGGCCACGACCGCGTGCGGGACCCGGCGAACCCGCGGCAGCCGCGCCCGACGGGCTTCGCGGTCGAGATCGACGCCAGCGCGCGGTCGCTGGCCAAGAAGCTCAAGGAGGCGAGGGAGAAGCAGCCCGGGTTCATTTTAGTGGTGGGTAAGGGCGACGTTGCGGCCAAGCAGGTGACTGTCGAGGCGACGGACGGCCCTTCAGAAGGCTCGGGTGCGGGCGTCTCGAAGGGAGCTCGGCAGCAGATGGATCCCCTGGCTTTGCTGGAGAAGATGCAGGAAAAGGTGGCGACGTATCAGTAGATGATGGTTGTTCGTGCGCGCGTCCGCCCATGTATAACAGATGTAGAAATGTACACTACCACTACAACAAACGCCGGCTTAGCGGGTTTTGTATTATAGTCATGATGAACGCAGGCCAAGCCTCCTCCAGCCTTTATTAGTCGTCTTACGACAACGGATCCACCTCCATTCACACTTCCGTTCCCAAGGTATATCCTCGCCGGTCATCCTCAACTCCATGAAACAATCCCATTGAAAGAACAAAAATTCAACAACGCAACACACACACCGCCCTCCCGTTCCATCACCTAGTCCTATTGGAAGTGCTGTTCGCCTGCTGATGGAACAGTGGTCTACAACAGACTTTAGTACGTGAAAGGATCATCGCATTATCGGGGCTCACTCACCGCTTGTACTTCTCGTCAACCTCGCCTCCAGAACTCTCAATGCGCTCGACCAATTCCTGACGCTGCCTGAGCTGCTCCTTCATGAACTCCACAGTTTTTTTCAAAACGAGACCCTCAGAGCGGCCCTGACCTTCGAGGCCGGGGACCAGCTCCGTCAGGCGGTCGAAACCCTCGCGGATGGCCTGGCGTCGCTTTTGCTCTGCCAGCGAGCAGTGCGTGTTAGCGGATTTCGTCGAATGCGCTAAAGGGCGTGAAGGGGAGTGTAAAGGCGTGTGTGCGCGCAACGTGTATGAAAGCTTTGCAGTTACTGTAAAAGGGGAGATCGTCAAGACGTACCGGATGCGATGTGATTCTGCTTCTTCTCAGCCTCGGTCAGGCGCGGCTTCTCTTCTGGCTGCTCGGCATCCGCGGCCGCTGAAGGGGAATTGGACTTATTTGGGGAAGACATTGCGGCGGGCACACTCAGTTTCTATAGGCGCGCGGATGCATCAAACGAGGGGGGTATTATGAGTGGAAGTGCTCCATGTGTAACAAAGCTGTTGGTGCCTTTACTTGGGAGTTGACGTCGAAAAGAGAGGAGATTGGGGTATATGTGAGTGTGTGTATGAGTGAAGGAGTTTGTGTGTGTTTCGCACGATCACATGCCGTTTCGCACCAAAGCTCTGAGATCAGATCCCCCTCCAGACTTTCCTCCGCATTGCGATTTGCGGGATTCGCAGAAAGCCACCACCACCCCTGTCCAGTAAGGTTCCTGCAGCACGTTTGTTTCCGCCCGCAGGGCTACGGATAGCTGCCACCGGGAACAGGAGCTGAACCTGTCGCCCAACGCTCCTTGGGGAAATACATACATGCCATCATGCCTTATCTTTTCATACCTCAAAGTATGGTACCTTAAGTACCTACCTAGCGCAGAAGGCACACAGTAAAGACAGATAAGATAAGCCCAAGAAATCACCATGGAACTGCGTGGATCTGGCGGGGTCGGTACGTCCCAAGCTTTCAAGGCTGTGTGACCTCATTGGCATTGGATCGGGATTGATTGCTCATCCAGAAATTCTACAGCTTGCCGGCCCACAATCCGCTATCCGTACGCAGTCGACCTCCTTTCTTTCCGATAGCTGCACTCTAGCCTTACAAGTACATACTCTCAAAAGGAACAAACCCAAGATCCCTTCAGAACACCCAATTGACACCGAAACGTCTCCAACTTCCGCACAGATCAAGCGCTTCACTCTCCACACAAAACACACACCTAGACGCCCACCACCAACACCGCCATGGCCGACGTAAAGACCTCCTCCGACCCCCCACCCGACTACACAAAGGCCACCGAGCACCTCACCCGGCCACGAGCACCCTCCGCCGCTGCCGGCGGTCCCGGCGGCCCACGAGGGCCGCTGCCCCTCAACCTCCCCGTCCTCTCCTACCTCAAAACCAAGCGCGTGATCCTCGCCTCCGCCTCTCCGCGGCGGCGCGCCCTCCTTGCCCAGATCGGCCTCAAGGACCTCGAAATCACACCCTCTACGAAGCCCGAGGACCTCGACAAGTCAGCCTACGGCCCTTACGAGTACGTCTCGGCCACGGCCCGCCAAAAGTGCCTCGACGTCTACGAGACGGCCCTGCAGACGCACCTCGCCTCCATCCCGGACCCGGACCTCGTCATCGCCGCCGACACCGTCATCGTCACCCGCGACGGCCGCGTCCTCGAGAAGCCGAGGAGCGAGGCCGAGCACATCAAGATGCTGCGCCACCTGCGGGATACCCGCGTGCACAGGGTCCTGACGGCCGTGTGCGTCGTCGCGCCGCGGGAGGACGCCAGGTCGCCGGGCTACGAGATCTGCCAACACACGGAAGAGACCAAGGTTTACTTTGCGCAGGAGGCCAACGGCCTGCCGGACGACGTCATCGAGGCGTACGTCAAGACGAGGGAGGGCGCGGATAAGGCGGGCGGGTACGCCGTGCAGGGCATGGGCGGCATGTTGCTCGTCGAGAAGATTGAGGGCAGCTTCGATAACGTGGTTGGCTTGCCGGTGCGGCAGACGCTGGCGCTGGCGGAGAAGGCCATCTTCAAGCAGGATGAGGAGGAGGTCGCAGAGGACGAAGAAGAGGACCTGATGTGAGAGGTTTGCCCAAAAAGAAAACAGAGATGGAATAGGAAGACCTGCTACATACCCCCGGCCGCCTCCTTAATACGAGGAGGAAACACGTTTAGAGAGGGCGCCGAATTTGACGAGATGCCCTAGTTTATGGCCTTCAAGTTAGATGATGAAATGAGCTTCATCTCGACATACAGCTAAAAGCCGGACATACTGCATAACAATAGCTCATGAGTGAAACACAATTGACGCGGGCTCACTCGCCAATCCCAAGCACAGATTACACACACTGCCAATGAGTAGTCACGTCATTGGAAATGCTGAACGACATCAACCTCTGTACAGTGGCTTTCTGTCACCAATGGTAACGTAAGGTAGTCTTCTATCATCGACTAGGTACCTTTTCGCATTTCCTTCGCCGAGTCAGTAAGTCTACTGGCAAACGTCAACAACAGAACCTTGCTATCGATTATCTCTTCGTGCAAAATAACGTATCTAAATCCAAATAGACGTGCTACTCAACCTTGGTTTGGAAAACTGAGTAAGATAAGCCCTTCCTTTCTGCCTCCTTGATAGGTGGATGGTACTTCTTCGTGGCTGAAGATTCTAAATTCCATCCTTTGATGCCTAAATGTTTCCTGCTTCTGTGCTTTTGTCACAGTACTAGTTGGCTATTAATGAGAATTCAGAATTTGGCGTCACTCACACAAAGACCTTTAAGCAGCCAACCAGCATCAAATCAGCTTGTATCAACCCTCATCTGCACGATCCATATAAGGTACAGAGGGTAAATTAGCCCAGATGAAAGGACGACGTACCGAGGCTACTGTCCCCATCTTACTCGAGCTGCTAGTCACCGTCTCTGACAGCAATGTGGGCGTGGAACCTCAGGGAGACTGTGACTTTAGGGAGAGCTGACCGGCATCTTTCTAGGCCCGTCGTCTGCTGATGTAAGACTTCGGTCCGAAACGACTCTCTGAAATTGGTTGCGTATCCTTACAGTGGCCTTCGCTTCTCATCCGAGTACTTCTTCTAAGGCTGCTATTATTCTGATCCGGAATAGCTGGTCGTTTTGTGCATCCATACTCCACCAAATTATCAGCGATATGCTGAATGTCGGCTTTCATGAATATACTGTCTAGAGAAATAATGGCTGGGCGGATCTGTTTCACGGAACCACACGGTCGGAGTCTGACAAGACGGAGCTGTACCTCCTAGGTAGTTCCAGACGCCAAGGATAGCACAAGAGTCTCGGGGGCTGAAAAGCCACGAGCCCCGAAAAATGCTGTCTGCGGGAACGGGTATCACGCGCTTGGCAAGGGGGGGAGGGGGTCCCGTAGGTAGCCTTGGTAGCTGACCCGGGCCGATATGTAAGGGGTCGTCTGGCGGGCACCGGTGAAGAGAGACAATGATGGCATCTGAACTAAGTGTATCTCAGATGATCCAGAAACATTACCAGGTGCTTGTGTGGTTGTGTAACATATACAGGGCGTTAGACTGACGCGATGGGCTTGGCATGGAATGGGAATATTCTTGTGTAACCATCTTATGAGGACGAAATAATAAGCCATTGAGGGGGGTAATTTGACTGTAAATGTGTAGAATTTCCTTGCCAAAGGGAGGTACGGTTGGTATTTGGCTGCACTCAGTAACTTATTCTTCCTTGACTTTGAATCCGAGGGCCATTCGTGTTCAATCGCGACGTCGTCTTCTGGAATGCCCCTAAGTAGACCTCAAAGCTCTGATCATATTGTGTATAGTGTTTATTCATGTAAAGAAAACTCCCTGACTCCTAGGTAACATTCAACGTCCCCAAACACGTGCACTGCGGGTATTGATGACTCCAAGATATCTGCGACATCATCCGTTGTGAAGGAGATGCCACCATCGGGTATTGCGTGTGCCTGTAACATGCCTCTTGATATCTTTCCCAAGGGATCGCCTATTAATATTACTAACTGATCTGTCACATCTCTGCGTCATCGTGAAAGTCTTCCTCGCTTCAAGACTTTGTCGGCCGTTTGAGGGGATGAGCCTCCGTGTTGAAAACCCATTCATCCAAGTTCATAAGCTCCGGATCGGAGAAGATGAGGTAAAAGTACTTTAACGTCTCGGCAAAGAAGAAGCTCTCCATGGTATCCTCCTGCCGCGACTGGCTGTACGTCACATCGACGACGACAGCGTGGGCGTCGTCGGTCTGCGTAGCTTTTTGGACGGCCTCAAACATGTCCCACGCCATATCCAGCAGGTCCGCCTTGCCGGTGACCCGGTACAGCACAAAGAGGCTCTCAATGGCCTCGGGACGCAGGTTGTAGTGAGCATCGTCGACGCGCCAGAAACCCCTGGGCGCGTGCTGGCTGCTCTGCGCCACCCACTTCTGCTCGTCCCACTCGCACACCTCGACGGTGTCGCACTTCACGACCTGGGACTTTTCGGGCATGAGACCGCTCTTGAAGGACTTATACGCCCACGCGCAGCCCCGCGCGAGCTTGTCGCCGAGCTCGACGTCGTCGGGTATGTCAAAGAGCTTGCCCGCCATGGCGAACATGCCGCCGGCGAAGCAGGACAGGTGCTCGAGCTCCGAGATTTGGTCGATCTTGCGGAGCTTCTCGTTGACGATGGCGGTGCCGAGGAGCAGGATGTCGTCCTTTTTCGGCGTCATGGGCCGGTAGAGGAGGTGTCCCTTTGCTGCTTTCGCCGCGCCCCTGTACATCTTCTCGTACGCCGTGTCCAGGCCGCCGAGGAGGACGTGCATCTTGGGGAGGTACTCGTAGAGCGAATCGCCGTCTCCGCCGAGCTTGAAGACGTTGTTGGTCGTCTGGAAGTCGTCGCGAACGTTGATGAAATTGGGCCACATGCCGGGTAGTAGCGTCTCGTCCTGAATTCGGTCAAAGGCCTTCTTGATGCGCTCGATGGCGTCGTAGAACTTGAAGTCGCCGGTCAACTGCGCAAGTCTGGTGAACTCGAGAGACATGCTGCCGATGGAGGCTGCGCTCTGGTAGGGGTCCGGCAGGACTTTTCCAGCGCGGAGCTCCTCGAAGCTGAAGCTGTAAGGAGGGAAGCGGTTCGGCGTGTCGAATGCCGCATAGAGCATGTTGGCGAGCTCAACGGCCTTGTCGAGGAGGACTTGCTCCTCGCTGAGATCGTATGCGGATAGAAGTCCACCGAGGTACCGGACGTTAGTCTCGAAAATGTTGCATCTCGTCTCCGTTGCGTTGTTCCAGTCAATCGTGCTGATGTATTGGACGGCGTCATTGAAGTCGTCATACATGCCCATCAGCCAAAGAGTGTCGAGAGAGTCAACCAGGGTGGCACCCCATCCGTTATAGCGATTCTTTCCCCTCAATGAGAGGGGTTGCAATTCGTCGTAACCCCAAGCGTGCCTGGTGTATGATTGCCAGCTCTTCTTGAAGGCGTTCCGTACTTCATTGCGACGAGAGGCCATGAGGCCGATGTCGAGGCCGATGTCTCTCTTCTTCAGACTGTCTGAACGGTCTGCGGCGAACTCATATTGTATCTTCGGAAGTGAGAGAGGTTGGCCGTTGGGGAGCCTCGTCATCTCAGCCAGAGGGACTGGATGCCTCTGTGGATGTGTAGACCAGTCATAGCTTTTCCTGATTGTAGGTTTGGCGATATCTTCGTTGCTGCTAAGAACTTCCTCAACCTGCACCGGAGTATCATCCCGTAAAAGTAAAACCGAGAGCACTACAAAGACGACGAGCAGCGCGAGTACCCGGTAGGTCGGCGGGGAGTGGTTTCGCAACTGAAATTTGGCGACCATATTGGACGAAGAATGGACAAAATCGAGGCAGGAGTGACATACGGAGGACCACGGGCGGCGGGAGGGGAAAAAAGGCGTGGCAGACATTATGTAGTAGGAGCTGACTGTCGTCACTCGGATATCGACCGTGAGAGAGGACCTTTTGGGAATTTGGAGCTCCTGTTGCTTCTTGCGGCGCTTGACGTCTCGAAGGTTGGCTGTCACTCTGATGCGTCCCTTTCCATGAAACACGAGGGGTGACCCATGATTTTGTGCTTGACTGCGTCCTTGGATTGTCTGTGCAAAGGGATTAAGGGGGGGTACTCCTGTACGGATGGAGGGGGAGTAGATCACTCGGACTGTTAAGGATTCAATCCGTGTGTGATGCTATGAATTAACACGCGATTGGACCTCTTTCCCTTTGGGAGGCTGAGTAGACTTGGGTCGAACTGGAATGACGTTTGGCTAAGATCGAGGCTAAGGCAGATAGCTCTAGTCAACTCCGCGAATGACATGCAACATGGCTCCCTAAGCGTTGCACAAAATGCTTCCGGAAGAGACAACTGTTTAGGGAAGAATCCAAAGCAGAATCCAAAGGGAGGACCACCCATGTCATTATGAATCGTTGACTACTTCTTAGAGGCCGGCAAAATGTGCCATTCCAACTGCCTTAAACCTAGATAGAATGCTCACCACGAGCCGTCGCATTCTGACTAGGCAGGTAGGTGGAGGTGATGGCTCAAGCCAACAAGAGCGCGTCGTTTCAAGGCACCTGACATGTTTCAAGGAACGTGGGCTTTGGGAGGAAACTGACTTAACTGAGTTGACGTCGGCCGAAGGCGCATACGGAGTGGAGAATGGGAAGTGGGAAGAAAAGGCGACTTGTGGGGGAGAGTGGCTGAAAACGGCGGTCCCGAATCTGAGACAGTTGGCATACCCCACCGGGCCGAGCTTTTTCGGTCTTTTCCACTTTTTGACGGAAGCGAATTCGGGGGCCCGTAGCCGTCAGCCACACTCTCGCAAGCCTGTGGCTGGAGCTTTACCTGAACCACCTTGCTTGACCGCCTAAATTTTTCAAATTTCTGCCGCATCCCACCTTGCCCAGGCGGCCCAGGATCGTCGGTGCACTTTCGTCGCCTCCAGGGAACGGCCGAGCAGCTTTTTTCGCGAAAAGAGATTCTGTTGTTTGCACAACCTCAACGCCAAACAATCATGTCTTCTATGCGGAATGCCGTTCAGCGTCGCTCCCACAGGGAGCGCGCTC